TAAATAATTCATTTGATCAAATGTTAGCTGGCTAGAATTTTTTACCATATTCATCAGCGTGAAAATGAATTTCTATATTAATACTAAAAATTTTGGAAACAAAATTCTAATTGGCCAATTTAAATTTCACGCACAACGTTTAGTAAAATAATAAAAAACCCCGATTTTTAATGAATTCATACAAAGTATTAGTATGTTATTTGTCTACTAAATTATTAGATAAAAAATTTATTCAAGTTCTTAGCCGGCTAAGCCGTTTATTACCTAATTTGGTAATTTTATTTCCATAACCAGAAGATAACGCGGAAATCTATTACCAAATTTAGAAATTATGTATGCAGATTATTAGCCGGCTTAGCCGGCTAAGGTTTTCTACCGATTAACATCACTATGTCAGATATAGAATTTGAAAGGCTCTTCTCATCAATAAATTCAGATAATTCATGCATTAAACCTTGTTCTACTTTTTGATTATATGGAATTTTTATTTCGGAAGAAACAGTACTTTGTGCCTCAGTTGTAGGATTACCAGAAGAAAAGGGTCCTTTTTGTATCGATTCTTGATCTTGAGAAGCGTTATCTTTGTTACTTCGTAGTAGTTTCTTTTCCCTGTTTATATCTCTCATTATATTACTAACTTTTTCTTTTTCTTTTCGATCCAGAAAATTATTGATCTCCTTAACTTCTAACGATTTAGACTCTGCATGGATAGGTAATGCAGAACATTGTGTTATCAACTTCTGACATACATCAGAATTAGACGCGTTATCTTCCATCTGTTCGGGAGTATTGTCAGAATTTATTTCAGAAGAAATGGTATTCTGTGTCTGCTCTAAAGACTCGGTCGGAATCAATATCATCAGTTGAAAATTGTTTGTTATGCAAACTCCTCTCATTAGAAAGGTTTTCATTAGGTGATTAATTAGGCGAGATATTTTCAGTTGTGCTGGCTCCGCCAATAGAGGACGTGTCTTGCACATTAGTAATGACTTGAGTTTGCTGTTTGAGCTCCTCAAAATCATGTCTTAATTTCGTTACTTCAGCTTTAAGCTCAACATTCTCAGCTTTGCGTCTGGTACTCTCTCCCATAGCATGTTCCAATTCCGCAATTCTAGCTTTAAGCTCATCTTTTTCTTTTGCAGTCTGCTCCAATTCTACAATTCTAGCCATAAGTCTGGCATTCTCTTGTCTTAATAAATCTAATTCGGATTCTATGTTCAATAATATTTTTTTATATAAGGCGTAGATTTATTCAAAATAGAAAAATCACGTGCGTGTGAACAATTGTTCACACCGATCACTTTGACAAGAAAAAAATTCATGACTCCACAAATATCATTTCTTCTGAAATAAGAGGTATGTATTGTTGTTGTATAAAAACGTTTAAGCTTATTTTTTGTTAACATTTCAGGATCTATGAGAAGTGTCAAAGTTTTCGATTTCACCTATCAGATAAAATGCACAAATAATTAGGATTGGTGAAGGTAACAGATCGTCCATAATAGCGGAGCTAGTGCTTGAGGCACATAGATAAATTTTTAGCACTTTGTGCTTGCTCTGCTAATGAAATTACCCATAATAAATTTGCACTTACTAGAAATAGTTTTTCGTCCTCGATCGCCCATAGAGAATAAATTGATTACATTCATGAGAAATATTGCTCCGAAATTACTAATTTATCAATTGTAGTGTTTTGCATCTTTAACAGAGTGATCCGTGGAAAATACTAGTATTATAAAACATGCGTTATTAGAATGAGTGGTTCAACTTACTATTACAAAATAAATATTGGATATAATCTGTACATAGTATTATGGCCATTGCTAACCTTAAAGCCCTTGCATATAATATCTTAAAAGAATTCAAAGATCCTATTGTCAGTGGTAAGGATTTATCAGAGTTGAACTGCAGTCAGGGAATATTCCAAATATGGAATTTCTAAATACTGCAATGATCCACTTTCTAGAATTTCAATAGAATGCAATAACAAATTATGTTACACATGTATTAATATAAATATTATAAATAATTATAAAAATTTATAATATTTATTTGCAAAAAAAAATTCACTTAAAATATATGAATAAAGTATATTTTATATCTTTTTTTTTTGTATTCAAATTTTTATTGAGTTCTACAAAATGAGTAAATTTTATTATTATATAAAAAATATTAACAATGAATTTTTTTACTTCTCTGTTTAAGTTTTCCTTGGTGCCATAAATCTTCTTGAGTCATTTATTCTGCATCAGTTTCATCAATCCCATTATGAAGATCTTGAACTTGTTGAAAAATTTGTAATAATTCATCTTTCTTTTTTGATTTAAGTCCTTTGAATTGTGGTTGATTAGCTTCATTTAAAGATTCAATTAATGCCTGAATTACACATATTAGATCATTGTTTGACATTGAGCTAGTTGCTGATTGTTTTTCCTCTTCTTCAATAGTGACAGGAATGGGGCGAGTATTTGGCAACTTATCTGAGGTTAACTTTTTTTTAATGAAATTCTGACGATAGAAATGAGCTGTTGAACTAAATGTTTTCATTGCATTACTTAATTCAGTATGCCCATCCAAACCTTTAAATGTAAAATTATTATCTGATGGATTCAAGAAATGTGACTTTCTTAATTCAACACGAAAACATTGTGATTCTTTAATAAAATCAGGAAATGATCTAGGACCACTGCTTTCTTGCTCAGAATACTCAATTATGTCAAATATTTTTTTTCTAAGCTAAAAAAAAAAATAATTAATAAGTATTGAGATTATTATAATTTTTCTATCATTGATGAAATTATAATATTAATGCTTACACTCATAAATTTGGTACAATTTCTAGCAGCAATCTCCCAATGTTTTTGAGTTGGTACAGGAGGAATAAGTGCTTTAAGAGACTTGTTTATTTTTTCAAGTATGGCATCTAATCCCTGATGCTGGTTTGACCATCCTGAACGAGATACAACTGAATTTTCCTCAATAAGTTTTTTTATTTCAGGTCGGAGACACATTAATTGTTCTTCATCAGCAACTTCAATTGATTGATAAATTGGATGTCTCCGAGCAGACCAAAAATCCTACGGGCAGCTGCTTTAAGTGAAGGATTATTTGTTTGAATACTTTTACAAAAATTAATAATTGCTTGTAAGTACCAAAAAGTCTAAATAATTAATTGGTGTTAATTAATTATTTTTAAGAAAATACACATTTTTTAAAGAGGAATCTAAAATCCTACCTGCTCATATTTCAATTTATATAATTCATCTTTATTATTTTTTGCCCAATTAAGGTATCCATCAACAGAAGGATTAGAAGCAACAGCAACATAAGGATATACCAACTCCATTGACATTGCATGTCGATATATATTGCATACTGAATCCCAAGCTTTGTGGCAGTCAGAACATTTTTTATAATATCCTAATTGTTTCTCATTATGATACCCTTGACATAATGCAAAGCACTTTAAGTCAATATTCCTATAATCAAAGCATACAATAAAGCATGAGAATAAATGCTAATACAATAGTTCCTACAACAATTTTAAAAACCATACCAATTTAATTCCACAAAAGATTTTAACATATTCATTTCTTCGTGAAGTGGACCAGGTATCAAAAGAATTCCAGGAAAATCTTTTTTGAATTTTTGAGCATAATTATAAGGAACTCCATCACAAGTTACAGCAATCCATTTTCGCTCTCCTTTGTTGATTCCACTAATTCTTTGAATATGATCTAGCACCATATGAACATTATCAATAGAATTAGGATTAATTGGTAAAGGATCAAGTATTAGCATGCCAGGTAACTTAACACCTTCCTGTGGTGATGATTTTTGAGTAATGCTAATTGGGTTTAAGTTCTTGTCAGAATTTCCTGTTTCAACATCATAAAATTTTATTGTTAAAGGTTTGTTGTCATTTTTTTCAAATGTTGTTTGTGATATTTCATGTTGGATTTCAGCAATTGTTGGTAATTTGCTTTACAACCAGGACATTTTTGTTTTAAATTTTCTATTGCACTTTTACCACAATTATTACATTTTTTTTGTCTACCTGTTATTCCATTATACTCAGCTACTAACGAATCAATAAGATTTGTGTCTCTCCTTTTCTCTGCACAAGCTTCGTCTAAAATAACAGAAAGATAATCACGAAGTTCTTCATCAAGCAAATTTTGCATTACTGGTGTTAAATCAAAAAGTTCTTGAATTTGAATTGAATTTAGTGTTTTATGTAACCAAGGATCTTTGAGAACCTGTGTTTTGTCTGTAGAATCAAAATTAAATGCAACAAAACTTGTTACAGTATTGAAAATTACAGTATTATTACCATGATCTAGATAGCTTTTTTGACCTTTTTGTTCATTATCAAAAGCCATAAATAACAAACCCTCAGGAAGAGTGGTTCAGGTTTACCAGCTAAATTCTCCTGCCATTTAAGAAATTTGTAAAAACTACCAGAATTTAAAATATGATTATCAATATTGATAATTGTTTTAGATTTGGATAAAGAGTATTTGATTGCTGATGTTGCTAAGTTGATAGCAGATACATATTTTGTATGTCTTGCCCCATAAATAATATCAACTGCTACAGCAACTTTAAAAAACTTCCCGTTAATTTGATTTTCATTTTCATTGTATGTAAGCATTTGTATAAATTTCACAACAACTGGATTTCTTTTGGAAAGCCATTCAGATGTAGAATATGTTAATAGGCTATCTAAACTAAACCTTTCCTGATTATTGATTAAACTAATGATATCATCATATAAATTGCTTCGTTCACGCTTAGCAATTTCAATAATTAATTCTACTCTTGATTGTTGATCATTGAGTGGTGCATTTATTTTTTCATTTAATTTTGTATTTTGTATTTCTAAATCTTTTATTCTTTGTTCATTTTCTTTTATGATATTAACATAATATATATATTGTTTTTCAGAATTTGTTAATAGTTTTTTTGTATATGCTAATTCTGCCATAAGGTTAGCATGGTCTTCATCTTGTACTTGGACTTGATCTTTCAATGTTTCAATAGTCAACTTAAATTTTTTTCGTTCATTTTCTTCCTCTTGTACATCTTCCATAAAAGATGGGAAGTTTGAATTATCTATCTTTTTTAAATGCTCAATAAAATAATCATTAGCAATAAATTGATTATAATGTTTTTCACATAAAGAATAATTTTTTAAAGAATTAAGTAATAATAATAATTCAGGCATGTACTTAGCCAAAAGTTTTATTTTTTCAGTTGATTTCTCTCCTGATGCATGACACCATTGCTGACTCTCTTTAGTTTCACATTGAGTTAGTTGGTTGTCTTGATATTTCTCGGCAATGTTTTCAAAAAGACATGGTAAATCTTTTGCTCTTGGTCTTGTATTTGCCATTAATATATCAAAATAATTGTAATTTCAGGTTTTATTTATGAAAAAACTGCTTTATAAAGGTTCGTGGATCAGTCTGGATTATGAAAGTGTATGTTCGTTGGAATATATTCAAATAGTTTTTTTTAAGGTTCGATAAAATATGCAGCGTTTAGTAATACAGAATTGATTGATGGGATTTTTCTGGAATTCATTTCCATATTTGGAATATTCCCTGACTGTATTTATAAAAATGTGTTTTTGAAAAAATGTCACTATAACGAGATTGTCACTATAATGAGCTGTCCTTATAACAGGAGTGACCTGTAGTTCTAATATGATGAACTATAAAAGTTAAATAAAATTTAGTAGTTGATTCTTAAAAATAATGGATATTAATATGAGAATTTACATTATTTAAATTTTGTAAAAGTATATTTGAATAAATACTTAGCAATGAGATTCCATTATTTTTTTGGATATTTATTTACAAGATCTTAAATGCAAACATGGTAGAGTATTAGCTAATGGTCTACTGTTTGCCATTACTAACTTGTAATTATAGAATCAAACAAAAAAAAATAAATAAATGGGTTTTTAGACCAATAGTTCCCTATATGTAAAAAAAAATCTAGTGTATAAAGTTGTGTGGATCCCAGTGGATTCCTAAAATATATATTCAAAAAAATTTATTTCAATTGTTATAATCAGAATTTTGAAAAAAAATCTTTTTTCATAAGCACAAGTATCATTTGCAACATTTATGAATTGATCGACAAAAATGTTCCAGATTCGATTTCCATATTTGGAAATCTCCCTGATCTGTATTACTTTATATATATTTTCAAGAAGTGATCGTCAAATAAAAAATGTCCGAGGAACTAAAAAATCATTTAGATAGTTTGGGTTGGTAGGTAAGATAGTTAATAAAGTCTAAACGTTTGCTTAATATTATTTATATATAATTTTATTATATATAATATTTATTAAAAAAGGATCTTGAATGATAAAGGTTTAATTGATTTACAAAATATTCTTGAGACAGAACAATTAACACATAATGATATTATTAAAGAACTTTTGAATGTAAATAATAACGATAGTTATTGTTATTATTTTTAAAATAATATATATTTCAAATGAATTATTAACGGTTGGGATTTTTTTACAATAGAAAGATCTTAGAAGAATCGGACGTGGTGCCTTTAAAGATGATTTCTCAAATGCTAAAAACATATCGGGTCCATTAGTATTACAATTACTTTCAATAATCAACCTTTCAACACCTTTACAAGATCAACGTGAAATACCTAGATTATTACAACTGACATTAACTGATGGTATTAAAAAAATTAAAGGTGTTGAAATGTTAGGAAAAGTTGAAAATGTTAGGTAAAAAATATAACACATTTAATCCATTCATTCAAAGAATTCATTTCATTTATTGTTTATTTGAAATTAGTTTAAGTACACCGCCAGGTACTAAATTTATGGTAAAGAATCCTATAAAAATCCAAGAAAATATATTATTTCTTGGTCCAGGATTATTGGAAAATTTGGGTGGCAAGGTGGAGGAAATGATTAGAGAATGGCAAGTTCAAAAGGTATTTTAGTATTAATATGTGTGTTAATTATTACATATTAACATTTTATTATATTATTATTTGATAAATTAACAGTTTCTTAAAGTTGATGGCAATAAAAAAAATGATGGATATGATGGTCCTCCTCCATTTATTCCTTTTAAAATTGAAAAAACAAATCAACAATTACTAACACCTCCAGCTGAAAATATTGTTAAAAATAACAACAATACTACTAATATTAATATAAATAACATAAAAAACGAACCCACTTCCACAATTAAAACTCAACCAACTGACATAACAAATAATTATTCAAATGATAAAAATAATAATGTTTCTTTCGATTTTCAAAATAAACAATCTAATAATTATCAAAGAGGAAGAGGTAGAAGAGGTGGGGCTGTTGGTGGACATCGTATCAATGGTAATAATAATAGAAATGGTGCAAGAGAAGGTCAGAGTAATAATAGTGAAAGAACGGGAAATTATTATAATGATCAACCAAATAATAACTATTACCTACAAGGTGGAAGGGGTGGTAGAGGTGGTAGAGGTGGTAGAGATGACCATTATGCAAATAGTAATTAAAGATTTTGATAAATATAAATATAATAAATAATCTTAGATTTACATGAAGAAAACGCTTGGTTTTCAATTATCATTATCATCAAAATTATTTTAATTTAGAATCAATTTAATTGAAATACAAACGCTTAATGAAATTTTCCACGTTTACTATTATTAGAATTTTCTTCGAAACTTATGCTCATGGAATCGGTTTTAAAAGTTCTTTTATTATTATTATTATTATTATTAGTAGCAGCGGCAGATTGTTCTAAAAATCCTTTAAGAATTTTATCAACACAAGATTTATCGAAATAGCCTCGTTGTTTCCATCTTTCAATAGGACTATTCGATTCGTCATCTTCCATAATGTCATCAATATCCATGCTTTCCTCATTTAGATCTTCATCTTCGCTTTCAAAATACATAGTAGCACTAAATAACTGTTTTTCTGTATGCACTTTTCCCCAAAATTTCACACAATCAACAGCAATTCTAAAGTTTTTATTTGATACATCTTCACGATCAAAAATTTCACCACGATGATCAAAATTTTTTGCCTCTGATGATTCATTATCTGGATTTGATAAAGACTTTGCGAATTTTATCGCATCACTTTCATCATCGTATATTTTCAAGAATTCAAATTCGAAATCTTTTTCTACATCAGAATATTTGTAAACAATCAAAATTTTATCTGCGTTCCTTAATCGTAACGGATGATCAAGTAATGTATTTACAGTTTCAATGGCTACGCGCCAATCTCGGTCATATCCAACTTGTAATTTATCATATAATTGTCCTTCATGATTAATATGTTTAGGTGGTCTGCTCGGGTGAATTGAGACAATATCGTCATCGTCATATTGTCTAGTATATTCCTCTGCTTCTAAAACTAAAGTATCGAAATCGTGTGAAGCACCAAGAAACAACAAAGTAAAATCATCTGATTCATCAAGATACGAGTATAATACATAATATGGTCTATACTTCAATTTTTCAAATACTTGACGTTTCCATATAATAGCTTGAGATGAATTTGGTGAAATCATTGCCTGTACCATTACTATAGGTTTCATTATCATATTAACATGTTCTGATGATATACGTTGATATATTTCTTGCCATAACTTTACCGATTCTGAAACAAATTTTGACACTGGCTTATAGGTTAAACTTACAGAGATCAAATCTTCCACATCCAAATAACCAAATATATCTTCAGCTATTTCAACACCAACAGGTAAAAATGTATTTTTTTCTAATTTGCAGCTTAACAAACAATTATTTATTTTTTCTCTCGATGTTATCATCGTCGAATTGTTAGAATTTTCTGTAAAATCCATAAATCACGTATTATAATAATAATCGTCAGCAATTATCAAAAAAAAAAATTTTAAAAAAAAAAATATAATTAAAAAGGAAGAAAAAACCGCTTTAAGAATTTATAGAAATTTTTTTTACTTATTGTTTGTTTCATGTTTCTCTTTGGCATAATGCAAACATTGTCATTTTTAAACAAAGACTTCGTTTGTATCTTCTTATCATCATAATTATTGGATAATAGCATAGTCAAAGTTTCAGCTATAAAATTAAATTGGTTGAGATTGGCCAAAAAATTTTACAAATTTTATTTCAAATTCATTCTGACCTTTTTTAAGGGTTCCAATTTGATTTGTGTCGATATTTTCCAACAACTCTCTATCATCTTGATTTATTCTCTTCCACAAATTATTATTAATACGGATCAATCTTCCTAATTTATTATTGCTATTACTATTATTATGGATTTTTGAATTTATCCACGAAATTTTTTTAATTGCTCGTTCTTTCTGTTGATCTTGTGACAATCTCTTCCAGCCATCGTTTGTACGAACAAGCCTTTTCGACTTTTTATTATTATTATTATTATTATTATTATTATCAAAATTATTTTTATTCATTTTTTATTCATTTTTACATGAAAACTAGTCTTTTTATATAAAATTTCTGCATCAATATTGTTTAGTTTTTGTATTGTTATAATTTTTTCACATGATTAAATATTATTAATATTTTAAATAATTTATCTATAAATTTTTTAAAATCAAAAAATTTCATTAAAAAATATTAATACAATAATAATAAATGTCTTTAATAAATAACGATAACTTTATACCAGGTTTTTGAAATCATGTTTTAAATCTTTAAAAGTTTAAATATCACAGAAAATATCATTCTAATAGAAGACATAACAACTTACTTGAAAATCTATTGGTACTGTAGAAGATTCCTCTAATGATGATACCCAAAATGAAAGAACTCCATTGGTACATCAACAAGCTAATTTTCAAGAATCAGAAGATACTCAAGATTATCGAACCTTGATTGAATTGGGAAAATCAACAGCCAAGCAAACTATATTCAATACAGTGGTAAATAAATAAATAAAGATATATATTGTAATGAATGTATTATTATTCGTACGTTCATATATATTTTCAATAGAACATCTTAATGGGTATTGCTATTTTAGCATTACCACTTGCCTTCAAATATTCCGGATGGGCATTGGGATTGATGATTTTTTTATTTTGTTTAATTCAAACTAAATACACGGCAAAAACGCTAAAAAAATGTTTAGATAATGATCCTAGATGTATTACATATAGTGATCTTGCAAATTTGGCCTATGGAATAAGGGGAAAATATTTTATAGGTGCCATTTTTTTATTCGACCTATTTAACGCGTCGTAAGTTATTTTGAATCATTTGCTCATTCGTTTGTTCGCTCGTTTATTTAAAATTTTTTATTTGATTCAGAGTTGCATTGTTGATTTTAGTTGGAGACTCTTTGAAAATACTATTTCCCAGTGCAGATTTAACAACTTTGAAAATCATAGCTACACTTTTTATCATACCATTCACATGGATACCAATTCATTTTTTATCTTATACCTCGATGTTTGGAATATTTACAACCGCTTCATTGGCATCTGTTATTATATTGGACGGTTTAACTAAACCTACTTCGCCTGGAAGCCTTCTTAATCCAATGAAAACACATATAATCCCACCAAATTTAAATTATTTACCATTAAGCTTTGGTTTAATTAATTCGGGTTTTACTGGACACGCAGTGTTTCCTTCTCTCTATAGAGATATGGAAAAACCTAACGAGTATAATAAAATAATTAATGTTAGTTATCTTATCACCAGTGTTATTTATATCACAGTCGCTGCATCTGGTTACGCGATGTTTGGTAAAGAAACAATGCCTGAAGTAAGGATGTTGTGTTGTTTTTGTTGATTATTACAACGACAACGATGATGATATATTTATTTGCGACCTCTGATTTTTAGATTACACAAAATATTATGCTTACTAAAGGATATAATGATTTCTTCAATTCACTTGTGATTTGGTTTATCGTCATCAATCCATTATCTAAATATCCTCTAACAATCACACCAATCAACTTAAATATAGAACTTTTCATTTTCAAAATCTCATTTATAAATCGATGGTTTAAACATGGAATCACCAAAAAGATTCTTATTATTTTGTGTAGAACTTCGTTAAGTTTATTGATTCTTGGAATTGCAATTATTTTTCCCAAATTTGAGAGAGCAATGGTAGGTAAATTAAAAAAATAATTTTGAATGTTTATATATACATACACACACATATATACTCATTCAAGTATTCGGGGGACGATGGAAAATAATAGTCTTTGTTGGGTTCTTTTTTTTCTTTTTTAATATCAGCAATATTTCCATTATTGTGTCATTTGAAAATGTTTGGTGGAGCTTTCTCTAAACAAGAATTGGTTTGGAATATATTCTTACTAACCACAAGTATAATCATGGCGACTTTAGGAACTATTTGGACTTTCTTGCCAACTTGTTGGCTAGGTGAAATACTATAATTATTGATTCACATGATAATCAGAGTCATACTAAAAGAAAATTTTCAATGCACACCGGCAAAGTTTACATTGTTAACGATGGTTGGGGAATAGCAATGATCGTAATGGTAATATTTAATAAACAAAAAAAAACCAATAAATATATATTACAAATACGCATATTGTAAACATTGTAAGTAAATGCCAAACTTTTTTCTAATATATACATTTTAAAAAAGAAGCCCTTATTTTTTTTAAATTGTTCATAAATAATAAATTTTAGATTGTTATTTAAGTTTAAATACTAACGAAAATTTACTCTTTGCTTTTCCTTCACTTCCACTTGAATTGTTTTTACCACTGTTACTACTAATAATTATATCTCTAGCAGTTTCAATTTCATGTTGTGGAAGACTTAAAGATCTCTGTTTATGTCTTTTCTTAAACACTGACGTTGAAATAATCTTACTACTACTATCTGTTTCATTAATAATCTTATCATTATTGTTAATAGTGTTCTTTTTACTGATTTTTCTATTATCTTTAATATAATTAGAGTCATCATCATTATTTGAACTTGATTTTAATATTGTTGTTGGTGATGAAATAACTTTTTGTAATAACTGTTGCTCATAAATTTCTTTCAATAAACCTGAACATGAACCTGACTTCTTTCTATTATGAAAACTCTTATTATTACTACCATCACCATTGCTATTATTTTGGACATTCGTTGAAGATGGTGTTAATAACGTCCCACTTTTAATCTGATCAATCACTACAGTACAACGTTGTTTGAGAGTCCTAGAAAATTCGTATTTCTTAAATTTATCAGGATTCGTTGATATCGAAATAGAAGTGGTACTTGTAGTTAAATCAAAACTTGATTTAGACGTTAATGAAACCAAACTTAAATTATTATCTCTACGTGGTATAAGAACTCCGCGAGATGTAGGTCTTGATCCTTTTAATATCCATTTGAATTGTTCAGTTGCTGCTTCTTGGTTATCGATTTGTTTATAAAACAATTCACCAAGCTTTTTTATTTTGAAAAAAAAATAAGACAACAACATATGTTTATTTTATTATTATTATCAACACAAACACATATAAAATGTAAATTACCTCATATCTACAGTGCGGGATTACCCAAGTTTCTGTCACAACACCTACTTCCATCGTTAAACATTCAAAAAATGTGGCTTGAGCAATCAAAGGATCATTTTCTAAATATTTTTCAAAAACCCCTCTGAACAATAAATAAACTGCACAAGTATCTGTGTCTGTTGGTTTTTTTAAATCCTAATTATGATTTTATTACATAAAAAACAAGTATTAAGTTTACTTTAACGTGACAAATAATAACAAATAACATTAATATTTTTATTATTACGTTTGCTTACATTCCATATTTTATTTAACATGTTGGCCCAACGTTTTTTCAATTCTAACGACATATAAAAAAATTCTCTTCTTAAATAAAGTATGGTGAATAACAAGAATGGTGAAACATAATTGTTATCAACGAATTTTGACGAATAGCGTCCCGCAAATTTATTATAACGATTTGACTACAAAATTTTTTTAAAAAGATCATAATAAATATATTGTTAATAAATTAAAAAAATAAATAAAGAATAAAAATAAATACCTTTGGTTCTTTTTTATCAGAACCACCAATACCACTAAATCCGCCAAATCCACTTCCATTAGTACCAAATAATCCAATACTACCAGCAACACTACTACTATTATTATCATCAGACGGAGGATTCGTCATTGCCTTCGTTTGTTTTAAAACGTCTATGGCTTCTTTCAATGCATAATCTTCCAATTTAACCATAAAATAACACCCAGCCAAACAAAGGCCACAAAATGGTCTCAATTCAAATTCAAAAAGTTGAAGTAAAGTTGTTTTGTTGTCTTTCTTCTTGGTACTATTTTTGCAGTTGTTATTACCAACACCGCCATCTTTTGATCTAATTCTAGCGGATCCATGTATTGATCCTTGAAGTCTAATTGATCCTTTGCTACCGGTGAACACAATCGTATTACCGTAAAATAATAATTCAAATATGTCTTTTGCAGTAGAAAAATCCATATTAACCAAATACGTCATTCCTAGTTCAAATCTATAATTGGTACTGGTCGCTTCAGCATTTTCACAACTTTTTATACCAATATTAATAAAATTGATCGCCTCTTTAATACGCCCGGTTTTCCTTGCATGTTGACATGCCATAAATAAAAAAGGTGGGCTGTTTCTATTGTAAATAATTTATTAATGATTATTTTGCCAATAAGCAATATATAAATTAATATTAATCAAACGTACGGATATTTTTTGATACATTCTTCAATAATTAAACCGGCTCTATTTAATGAAATATTTGCATCAATAATCCCACGTGGCAGAAAAAGATAATTTACAAGTAGAAATAACGCGGCGAACGGTGCTAATATATATATAGGGTTAGAGATTTACTTAAAAACATCAGAAATAGCAAAAAATGGAGTTTTTGCTAATATATATATATAATCTATTCTAACCTCTAACACCATTACGGGAAAAACAATTTTCAAGCATTGTAATCCCTTTTTCCCTATCAACATTAAATCCAATGGCTTTAAGGACTGATAAAAATGATCCAGGAGCCTGTTAAAAAATTATACATTTAGGAGAATTTTTTTAATATTGATGAAGTTAATTAATCGTATCTAAAAATGATCATAAAATATACTTCACTTACAATTGATACAATAAAATAAAAAACACCAATTCCAAATTCCAAACAATCTTCCACATCAGAATCTACTTCAATCGAATTATTAATACCATCAAGAGTAGCAATTGACGCTTCAGGTGTATGGTTCTTTGAAGTACCTAATCCAACCATGTTAGTTAAACTGCCTTGGCCACTAATAAAAGCACTACCAAAACTCCATCTGCTACTATTAGAACTACTAGATTCCACTTTATTCGATTCTTTTTTTGATGCAATTGATTCACCATTTATTCTTTCTATTTCATCTCTTACTTTAGAATAAGTTTTCCAGGCTTTACGTAGATTAAACGCTCCTTTTATTTCACTGCCACCAACTACTTGTAACACAGCACGAAATAAAAGTATATCTGCCATTGCTAATTCACAATCCCAACGGTAATTTGTACGAAGAGAAACAAATATAGCCTCATCATCAGCTGGTGTAGAATTGGGGTTTAAAGTTTTTTTCCATATTTCGGTTCTTAAATACGAAAAAGAATTCTCCTACATATATAAAAAAAGGTAAATTAAAAGTAATAATTAATATTATTTTTATTATTATTTGTGAAAAGAAAACTCACAAATTCTTCTTTATTATCGTTAATTTTTGTTGCCAATTTTTCAGTTTCAAAAAGTGTATTTATTAATTCTGGATTTTCATTATCAGAGGTTTGACCAGTCATCAAATGTTTAATCAATTGCATTTCTACATCAGCTACACTCCATCTAGATAACCTTTTTTTGTGTTGGCTAAAAATTTTAAAAGCATCAGTGAACTCGCTATTCCATGATTTTCTTACTGCTAAAAGGAAATCCTTTGATAATATAGTGATTGGTTTTGTCTTATTGTTTTCGTCGGTTCTTTCCATCTTGCAGGTATTATCAACTGGCGAAGATTCTTCTTTTTTTGATATAGAAGATTTAATTGAAATATCGGAATTGTTTTCAGCATTGGAATCAACAAACAATGATTGCAATGAAGTTGAAGGTTCACGTGAATGATGTTTTATTAAACCAATTGGTATTGCTGGATTTTTGTCTTTTTTGGGAGAGAAAAGGGGGTTCGATTCTTCAACAATTGGAGATAACAGTATATCAATGTTTTCATGTGATTTTGATGAACTATAATGAGTATCTTGTTGACTGAGACCTGTAACATTTTTCATAACATCAAACGGTTGTATCTCTGGGTTTTCTGAATGATTTTTATTATTAGTTGAGGCAATAATTGGTTCACGTAAAGCTAAAGGAGAAGAAGATTTAGGTGTGAATAATGGACGAGTTATTGGTGGTGATGGTGGTGATGGTGGTGGTGGTGATGGTGGTGATGATGGAAGAAATATGTGAAAATTTGTATTATTATTTTTACGAGTTGGTGATTGAGATAAAAATTCATAGTCATTCTGAGGCATGATGACAGGACTAGTAACAATAGTACTGGAATTATTACTTTTTTTATTGGTGTTAAGTTTATCTGTTGATGAGTAATTAGTAATTATGATCAGTGAATTGGGTTGTAAAGGTAAAGAAGAAAGATTTTAATAATATTATTAAATTATTAAAAAATAAAAATATAGTCGCATTATCATTATCATTTGTTTGAGTAAATTTGTTTTTAAAATGATAAGAATACCTTCATCAGTGATGTTTTTTGATTGAGTAATATCTTTGCTTCTTAAAAGAGCAGTTTGTTGCTGCTGTTGTTGCTGTAAGTTATTTTCTAGAGAATTTTTAATTTCATTTGCTGAAGCAATTGTAAATGATGAGCTAGGTGATAAACCATCAACGTTGTCGTATTCTGTATCATTATTGTTGATGATAGTGCTGCTATTCTTATAACAATTATTTTTTTTTCGTTTCAGAGTAGACCATCTTCCAGCACCAACAGGTGCACTTCCAACAAAATCGCCAGTTGTAGCATAACGAATATCAGGAATAAATATATGATTTTCATCATTATTAAACTTGTTAATATTTTCACTTCCAGAAATATCACTTGGATAATTAACATGAGGTGGACGAGTGGTGATAGCAGAGATAGCATAAGAGGAGAGATCGGGAGTATCTTGAGAAATATCGACGTTAAGAACATTCCGATAAACAAATGATTTAACACGGCGAGGAAATTCGTTAGATGAACTATCTTCATTAATTTCAGATGAAGTACCACTAATGCCAACACCATAACTATCACCACCATGTTCATATTCACCATCATCATTGTATTCGTCGTTGTATGATAGTATGTCTTCACGTGGTGGTTTAAAGTAAACAGCAGATCTATCTTTAACACTACCACCACGACCAATGGAAGTAACAATCAAACCAGCATCACCATCATCATCATTTATAAATAGAGAATCATCATCTTTGTCATCTTTGCTAGTTATCAAAGTTGAACGAGAATTGATACATTTATCTATTAATTTCGATATACCACTATTATGATTGTTGTTGCTGTTAGTATTATCAAAAATTGATAAATTTTCTTCAAGTACATTTTTACGTTTGTGTAATGGCAACTCAGTTTCTTGTAATTTCATTTTTTTCTTATATCTTTTCAATAATCGAACACTTCCTTCAGAACTTGTTGTTGAAGTAGTTATTTGAAAAAGAATGGATGGTTCTTGAGGATACAGCTGCTCTGATAGTGTTGTAAGTAGGTTTTGTGTTAATGGAATCAATAAAGAAGAATTTTTTGTTGTATTATTATTAATACTATTAAAATTGTTGTTTTTGGACGTAGTTGATTTATCAAATTCATCAACTAAAAATATCGATGTTATGATTGTTTCTACATATAAACTTAATGTACCATGAAATTTAGATCGATTATTTTGAATTTGTTCAAATGATAAATTATTATTGCACCTAATCAATCAATGTACTTATGAGAGTATCAAATGAAAAGAACAAACCGAGTTAATTTAATAAATAGGGAGATGCTAGCATTGCGGACATTTGTACAATTGGTAATGATTTTCGTTGAAATTGTACTATAGCAAAAAGTGCAAGTCACTTAGTCCCACAACTTTTTATTGGTCATGTAGATCCTTTAAATCCTCCAAAAATGGAAATGTAACACCCAAAATAAATCGTGTTTTTGAAAGCATAGTGGACATTTGATTTCATTGGCTAAATTTTGTGACGATCTCCCTTCCAGATATCACGCAAAAATTAAATTTTATTGGCTTGAAGATCGTTACGCAAATTTGAAAAACAAAATATTAATATTACAGTCAGGAATTTTGCTAAATCGGGATGTGTAACAAAAAATGTTCTAGAAAATTTTTCCCCAATAAAATTTCGTAAAAAAGCCATTTTTCTTTATTGATCTTGTGACTTTTTTTT